TTAAATAAGAAGCATGCCTACAACTATCAAGCCCATAAATGTATAAAAATTCTTGTGATTTCAGTAAAAACACAAATCCAGCAAGGAAAGAAATACCCTGTTTCTCCAACAATACGGCCTCCCCCAATAGGAAGTCCCAGCATGTTTTATAGGCATGAAATGAAATTAAGCCCCTCCCCCCAAATTAAGGCCTATATTAAAACATGTGAAATGGGGGGGAAATGGTGGGGGGGCTTGCCGTTGGGAAGTACTTTTGTTGCACACCCGGATATGGTGCTGCCTGCGTTGACTCCAATATGAAGTGCCCCACCAATGCTGAGGTCAACATCCAAGCCGTTGCCACCCGCCCACCCAAAGATGCAAGGGGGGGGGGAATTAAGTCACCCCCGAAAAGACGGCCTAGCCATTTTTTCGGGGCTCAAAAAAAAATAAGACCCGGCCTTATTATATGAGAAACACGGTACACAGATAAATACTAAAATTTAGTAAGAGCCTAGCTAGATCTGTGGCTGCTACTTTTTTTCTGCTGCTATGATTTATTAAACTGCAGACGTTTTCCCATGACTGATCAAATAGGAAATTATTTTATTCTAATTTCTCCAAAATTCAGGCAGTCTTCATGTAACAATGGTAATTGGGACTGCAATTTCTGCCATTAAGCAAGATGGTTGGAAAGTATGATGTCACATGACCACACTGCTTAACAATGAAAATTCCAGGATTTCTTGTTGTCATTAATCAAATCACTCTGGATCTTAAAGTGAGGACATCACGTGAATGCCATTTTGCTACATCCCGCCAGCTTTCCCACCAACTTTGTAGGAAACTTGCAAAGAAAGTCACAAATAGCAAGTATATTATCATGAGGATGCTGCAACTAACATAACTCTACAGGAGGGGATGCTGCCCCAGCACTTTAAGGAGGCTGTGGACCGCTTTCTTCTTAAAAAACCACCACTGGATTCTACCCGGTTGGATAATTTCCGACCTGTCTCCAATCTTCCCTTTTGGGGGAAGGTTGTTGAGAAGGCGCAGCAGCTCCAGAGGTTTCTGGATGAAATGGATTATCTTGATCCCTACCAGTCAGGCCTGGATTTGGGACAAAAACAGCATTAGTTGCACTTTTGGATGATCTCTGGCGGTATGGGGGTAGTGCATCCATCCTTGCTCTATTTGACCTCTTGGCGGCTTTTGATACCATTGATCGTGGGATTCTTCTGGGGTGGCTTCGGGGGATGGGAGTAGGAGGCCTTTTGCTGTCTTGGTTCACTTCCTTCTTCTGCGGCTGCTCTCAGTCAGTGTTGATAGGAGGGGAAAGATTCAGCCCTCACCCACTGCTTTATGGGGTTCCGCAGGGCTCGGTATTCTCTGCTCCTGTTCAACATTTATATGAAGCTGTTGGGTGAGATCATCCGTCACCATGGTCTGAGGTATCACCAATATGTTGATGATACTCAGCTGTATGTCTCAGCCTGTGGTGAGTTAAGTGTCGCTGTGTCCTGCCTCTTGCAGTGCTTGGAGGCTGCTAGGGGCTGGATGGGGAGCAACGGGTTGAAACTAAACTCTTGCAAGACTGAGTGGCTCTGGGTTTAGGATTCCTTGACTCAGCGAGAATTACCACCTTTAGTCTTGGATGGGGTGGCACTATCCCAAACAGACCCTGTGCGTAATCTTGGGGTTTTCCTGGACTCACAACTCCTGTTCGAAGAGGAGGTGGCGGTCATGGCCAGAAGGGCCTTTGCGCAACTATGGGTTGTGCACCAGTTATGCCTTTTCCTGGATCAACAGTCCCCACCCACAGTCACTCATGCCCTGGTCACTTCCCATCTTGATTATTGCAACACGCTGTACATGGGGCTGCCTTTTAAGAGCATCCAGAACCTCCACTTGGTGCAAAATGCAGCGGCCCACATAGTTTTGTGCAGACCCCAGTATGCACATGTCACCTCTCCCGCAGGAGCTGCATTGGTTGCCGATTTGCTTCCAGTGCAATTCAAGGTGCTGGTTGTCACCTTTAAACCCCTTCATGTCTTGGGTCCGGGTTACCTGAGGAAACATCTCTTGCCAATGACATCTACCCGACACATTAGAGCAAGGAGGCAGGGAATGTTGTGGGTCCCACCCTGAGGGAGATACACCTGGTGGGACCCAGAAGAAGAGCCTTCTCTGTGGTGGCTCCCTCTCTGGAATAACATTCCCCCAGAGATTAGAATGGTCCCCACTCTAGCACTTCCAAAAGGCACTGAAGACCTGGTTTTGCCAGCGGACCTGGGGAATCCAGAGAGGGATGGAGCCCATCAAATGGCTAGTGTGATCTGCTGTCATCGGGGTGGAGGGGTGGGAGTTGGTTCCCCCCCCCAATTTTGTTCTATTATACTTTATTAATTTATTTGATTCTTTTTGTTAGTTTTTATTGTTTTTTATTTTATTTTTTGTTTTAAATATGGTTTTACATTGTGTAAGCCGCCTCGAGTCGCCATGGATGAATAGGCGGCAATATTAAATAAATAAATATTAAATAAATAAAAATAAAATAAAATTAATAAGAGGACCAGACATGAATACTATTCACTTAGTGCTATTGTAAGTTGAAATGGTGATGGAACAAATGTCGTTCAACAAGGGCCATCTGTATTTCTAAAACCCATAATATTATTTGCATTTGTACTATGAGCTGCAGTGCCGCAGTACTATGAGCTGCAGTGCCGTGTGAGTACTATGAGCTGCAGTGTACTATGAGCTGCAGTGCCACAGAGTGCAGTACTGCAAGCTACTTCTGCTGACTACCTGCAATTTGCCAGTTCAAATCTCACTAGGCTCAAGGTTGACTCAGCCTTCCATCCTTCCAAAGGGGTTAAAATGAGGACCCAGATTGATGGGGGCAAGATACTGACTAAACCGCTTAGAAAGGGCTATAAAGCACTGTGAAGTCTATATAAGTCTAGGTGCTATTGCTAAATGCTATTGCTATTACCAGAGTTAAATCATTCATATTCTTTGTAAACTCCATGTGTCTGTTCTACAACAGCTAGTTCTATAACATCATTCAGCTAGGATGGAAATGCAAGAGCTTCATTCACTAATTCCCTAAATTCAGTCCAACTGCCAAAAGCTCTTTAGTTTTTTCCACAACATTGTTCAACGCTGAAAAGTGTTTGCAGTTTGCCTACTCCAGATCTTTTTTCCCCCTCTCATTTCCTCTTTCTTGTGGATTTCTTAAGGTAATTCCGTGTTTTGTCCTTTCCCAAGTTTCTTTTGGAGTTCCCTTCGTTGTGTTGTATCTTGCTTTTGAGCTATTTTTTTTTTAATGCTGCAGCTTTTCCTCTTCACAGATGGTCACTGTACATTCCTATTTCAGCTTTGTGGGTCACTGCAATGGAATGTCAAAATTTCATGTTTCATTAGGAAGGCAGACTATGAAGAACACCCAATTCATAATTATTCTAAACTTTACTCAGAGCCCTGTTGCCCCAGTATCTCATGAAGCTCATAATATTGAAACCATCAAAATGTAAGTGACTTCTGGGCTCCCTCTTAGCACCGTCATTACTGGTCTCCCAGAGAAGCACCATTTAAAATATAATTAGTAATTAGTGCTATAAGATGGCTGTTTCATCTTCATTAAATTTCATCTCACTTAGGATTCCCTTGGGTTAATAGTGCTTCTAATAACAATGTGTTGACAGTATCTGAACCGCTTCCTGATGTAATCTGCTCAGCAATATCTATGTGTCATGCTTGCTTATCACATGCTTGCTTATCATCATATGAAATAGCAATGAATCCCAGTTGGGGAGTAGATAATCTGTGTTTTGCAGATTTCCTACCATTAAAATAATATACAGGTACATCTTACTTAATTACTTGCCTCTTTAGCGACCATTCAAAGTTGGAACAGTACTGAAAAAGTAATTTTATGACTAATCCTTGCACTTACAACTGTCAGTGTCTCCATGGTCACATGATCAAGAGTTGATCATTTCTCTACCAATAGTTGTTTATGGCATTCATAGCGTCCTATGGTCATGTGATCTCTAGTTGAACACTTCAGTAAAAATTTGGACCATTTACTTTGTCTCAGTTAAGCTCATCTCACCAAATTGTTATTGTAGGAAAATAGGAGGAGTATTAGGTTTGTTTAACATCTTGAATTGTATATGAAAAAAATGGGATAAAATAAAAAAATTGTTTGTACATTATTTATATTAACTATTCTAATTTTTTCACTCCTTTTAATTTTAAAACTATTATATGACAATTTCCTTAATTATTCTTTAGGTCATGTTTAATGAATAAATTATTATTTTGTTGTTAAACGTGCTTATTGTGACTGAAAAGATTGTATTATTTTTAATGGAACTAGGCATTATTAATCCCTGTCTATAATTAACAGTATGTCATTTTGAACAGGATGGATATCAACCATATGACTTTTGCTGGGACTAATAGGCCTATATAGACAAGCAACCTATGTTAAAGTATTCTATGCATTTTATGGTTACCAATTACAGTTCTGGATATCTTTGAATTAAGGTGGGGGATTTTTAAAGCAAATTGTGTATATTTGAGGGCCAAAGTATGTTCTTGGTTTGAGTTTCTAAGACAAATATGCCTCAAATGTGAAACTGAACAAATTTTAGATATTGCATCTAATTTTTATCTATAATATACATTTATAGAATATGAGCCTCAAGAAAAAATAACTGTAATCCAAATGAACTGCAGTATCTTTAAAGGATTTTCTTGTTACTCCACATATTTTTTTAAAAACAACAACATTAATTTCAGTGTCCTAATGTATATGAGCAAAATAATACATGATATTTGGAGGAATAGAAGCATTTTGTATTATAATCTGTATATACTTATATGAAGAAATAATGGTGAAAATGTTAATAATACAAATAGTAAATGTTTTGCTTGAAGGAACATTTGTTTTAGGTGGTTTGCTTTATTGGCTAGTAACATTTATATTCTTTTTTTTTAAAATGTAACTACAGCTGGTTTTAGGAGAAGTTTTCGCCTAAGCAGAAAGGATAAAAAAACAAACAAGACAATGTATGAATGCAAGAAGAGTGATCAGTATGACACTGCAGATGTTCCTACCTATGAAGAAGTAGCAAAATATAGGCGGCAACCTAATGAAAAATATAGACTTATTGTCTTAGTTGGTAAGTGTTAACTCCTCAGTTAAGAGGCTAAGTCAAATGATGGAACTTGGACTGTATTGCTTTTCGTTTTATTATAATTGTTTTTCATTGCCATGCTTGTTTTGTGTTTTTAAATTTGAAAAAAATCAAATCTTGAGCAAAAACTGTTGTATGTGGATGTCAGAAATGTTGTAAATTTCAACCTTCACCCATCTGTGTATTGGAATTTCCACAGAAAGGGTGTTTCATAGTTACAGTTGCCAACATTTAAGGTCCTGCTCTATATTAAGCATTTCACTATTTGAAAATTAGCTTTTTCAGGAACATATAGCTTTTTCATTACAGCCTATATGTATAGTTTATGCAAAAGGAAAGTGCTGGATTTCTGCCTAAGAATTCTGAATTCTGTTGCCCCAAGACTTCAAATAATTTCAGTAACCCCAAAGGATTTCTCTTCCTTTCCCAAGTCCCAAGTTATCTTGTTGTATGCCTACTTATTGTGGATCATCTTCACCCTTCCTAGAGTAGAAGTGCATATCCGTTGACCCCTTCACCAGTCCAGTATGCCCAATTTTTCTTGAACGCAACAGTACATGACATCATTCAACCTTTCATTTCATCACAAATACATCCCTTTTTTTGAAGTTCCACTTCAGAACTTCTTTTTCCCCCCATCATAAGCCTTATAAGCCCTTCCAGGCAGATGGTCTATAGCACTTATTTCTATCCAGTTCCAATGAGCTACAGCATCTCCTCTCATGTGATGGTTGCTCCTGCTCCCATGAAGCCATTTCGTCCTGAGCCTTTACTCTTCATGTTCTTCATTGGTCATCCATCACCTCTTCCCCCTCCTCATTATTTTCATTACCATCTTGATACAATGAGAAAGCAAGTTAAAATGAACGTTCTATGTTTTTCCACTTCCTCTCCTTACATCTTCCTATTTCCAAGTGGGCAGATTTCTTTCAATTTCTGATTCGGCTGGGTAAATAATTTCCCCCTTCTTTTTGCAGACTGTAAAGCTTCCCTTCTACCCAAATCTTTTTAAGTTGCAGCATTGTCATTTTGGAATAAAACTGAAAGCTTCATTAAACTTGCTTCCATAAAGCTGAAACATTAGTTCTTCCTCCCTAGACATTTATCACAGTAGAACATAGAAGTAAAGAACACCATTCTTGCCTGGAATATTGTTGTATCGAACAACAATGGTATATTAATGACTTGCATTTATTTTGTCTAAGCTGGCTAGAGTCATGTAAAAATGAGACAGACCGAGATATAAAATGGATGGATCAATGGAGGAAGTGATAGTGTGAAGTGATAGTGTTGAAGAAGAAATGTGGGCAGGGGTGGGAAGTGTCTTTGGATGCAAATCTTTGGGAAAGCAAAGAAAAAGCATGTCATTTAGTGAAATGAAAATATTCCCTAAGGGGAAAAGGCAGACTCTGGAAGACCCATTCAAACATGGCCCCGTCACGACAGACTAGACCAGGGGTGTCCAACCTTGGCAACTTTAAGACTTGTGGACTTCAACTCCCAGAGTTCCTCAGCCAGCAAAGCTGGCTGA